ACCAAATTTTGGGGGTTCCTTCCTTTCCTGTTCTGTCCATTTGAATGTGAGGATGTGAAACCACTTGGCCTGCTTAGAGACGGAATAGCCTGAGAAGTCACCAGCTGTGAGCTGACAGGGTTTTCTGCTTGTTGCAAGGATGGTTGCCATCTAGGTGATAATTTGACTCACGTTTAACTTTGCTATTTTGTAAATGTGTATAACTATCTGGGCTGAGTTTGCTTTACATTTAATGTCAGTAAAAGTGTGCAAACCAAATCTCTCAAGTGTCCCTTTAAAATCTTATTTAAAAGGTTTAAATAAAGAAATGAATGTGAACGTTGTATTTAGAAGAGAGTAAATGGAATCGTAGAATCATAGAATCCTCTGAGTTGTAAGGGATGTCTGGGGGCCATCTCGTCCAACCTCCTCTGCAATAAGCAGGGACACTGAGGCTCAGAATAGTGAATATTTATGTGGGTGCGTGCTCCCTGTTGTGTAGAGTCCTTCAAGTCAAATCCTGAAATTCATTGCCAAGTCACTCCACATTTTCAATTGAAGTAGTGCAGTTTTGTGATAGTTTGTGGAAATTATGGAAATGCAGTGAGTATTCTTGAGTGCAGTCTTATGATGAATATAGGTATATAACACTGTGATAAATGGGATCCTGCCTTGAGCTCTTCATGGGGGACTGAATGTACAGAAGTAATGCACTCAGGCATTTTCCCCTGTTAAACTTCTGTTTGATCCGGGCTGCAGTTGGTTGAAAGTTGCTATTGTGTCCTTCTGTTTCCTTGAAGTACGTTTGCTTTCAGCCCAGGCTCAGGCAGCTCACTGCCTGCTTTGCAGCAACTGCTGCTGTAATTGGCAGCCTTGGCAGAGCAGTCACAGGCTGACAACTTCCAGCCTCTGTGCACACTTTTCTCTCTGCAGGTGATTTTTTTCTGCCAAGCCCAAAGCTGGGGCGCATTTTGTGTGTGTATAAAAATAAAATGATATTTTTACCCATTTTCTTGATGGATGCGATGTCAGAGATTTCTCTTTTCATGACTGAAAAGAAGGAAATCCATTAAGTAGATAGCAGGCAGGCGAACCTAATTACTCTGTGCTTTAGGAAGGTGCTGAAAGAATGAACAGGTCAATGCCTACTACTTTTTATTAGCCTGTGTAGAACTTGGCCAATAGCTTATTTGGAGGATGGTTAATGTACAGTGTCTTGCAGGCTTTCGTCCTTCAAATAGCTTTTTCAGATCAGCGTTACTTCAGAAAGAAAAGTGAGTAGGATTTGTGTGGAGGAAATGAGTCAAGATGCAGTTCTCAGCATTTGTCTGAGAATTTTATTTCATCTTATTTTTTTATGTGTCTGTCCCTAGTATAAGTGTACATCCCTTGGGAAGAAAAGGGTGCAGGTAGTTCATTTTCATTGTGTTCTGTTTTTCAAATGACCTGTGCAGTGAGGCAGTAGGCCCCATTTTCTGCTAGTAATGGTTGAACCATCTCATTTATTACAAAACATTCCACATTCTGTTGGAAACTGGCATGGCATGCTTTATTGTCTCAAGTGTTAAAGTGCTTGTGTTGCAAATATGAATATTTCAGTGTTGCCATGAATAAAGCCAAAGCCTATATGTACTTCTTTAGAAGTTGCAGAGATGAGAAAATAAACAGCTCAAAAATTGGCTATTTTTAAAATTCATTTGCAGATTCATTTGCAGTGTAATTCAGAATTAGTTGGTTTTTGAGATTTACCTTATCCAAATAAGCATTGAGAAATTGTCAGAGTTTACAGTACTGTTGTGGAACTAATTTCAGCATAGTATCTTCCTAAGCAGATAATAGTGCACATCCTTTTCTGCTTCACTAGCACTGGCACAGCTACTGAATGTGCTATTGTGTGGGGTTATAAACCAGATAATCTTAATTGGGTGTTTCCTGACAAGAAGAGAGGGATGGCTGAAAAAGGAAAGAACTGGAAATAAGGGCATGCATTCCTAATGTACAAATTTGGCATTTCTCCAGGAAAATGGAAGAATTTCCTGTTAGTTTAAATCTTCTAAGAGCTGAGAGCCCTGAGATACATAGCACGTATCTCAGAGATGCAGAGGAAGGGGGAAGGCTGGGAAAAGCTCATGCATGAAAACCCTGGGGAGCTGGCTGCTGCATGACGTGATGGAGGAGAGGGCTGCACGACTGTGAGCAGCTGGGGATTGGGGCATCAGTGGGCCTTTGTTGGCCATCATCTCCTTCACCCCACCCAGGATTTGGGTTACTCTGCAGCGCTTAATGCCAGTGGAATCTGGTGGCATAGAGCAAGTCCTGGAGCCTTCTTAGAGCTTAGTCAAATGCTATTGGTGTGTGTGTGTGTGTGTGTGTATGTATTGTATATTTATGTATGTACAATGTAATACATGCAGTGGCACATGTATGCTGTGGGCATATGTAGGGTTCTTATTAACTAAACTGCAGGATTTGAGCTATAGATCAACCGTGGAACCTGTGGAACTCCAAGGGCAACAATGGCAAACAGGAGCGGACATAGGCAACTAGGAGCTGAAAGGCTTGATGTGGATCTCAGCCCCAGTAGCTGTGTCTGGCTCTGTTGACTTTGGTGCAGATTCTACTACAGATGCACTAATTAGATGTAATCATATCTGTATTTGAAGATTCAATATTACATTTCTTAAACTTACGTGAATGGAGAAGCAAAAAGAAAATGCAGACTTGTCCTCTGATGCATGAGGAAAGGGTGTGATTGTTATTCCTAGATATTGATTGTCTGCACTGTCATTTGTAATGAAAAAGAGCAGAATGACGTATATGAGTGCTGTTTTGCTCCCTGTGAGGCATCCAGGATAACTGTTAATTTTCCTCTTAATTTCCATCATTTAGAGTTCACTTAACTACCAGCCAGAAATTCTGGAGAGGAGTGCCTAATCTTTTGGTCTTTATATATGTCTGTATATATTTAGGTATTTAAGTAATATCTTGATGATGGAAGAGCGTCTCTGGGCCAGGTTCCGATTTCTGAATGGCCGATGTCCTTGGGCACGGGGTCTCGAAATGCAGCTTTGCACCAGAGTCCTGGAATCTGGATATAAACTGCAGATGTCTAGGTTTAAATGGCACAGCTGTGCTCATAAATTAACAGCCAATATTTTGAGGTGCTAAGAGATTGTTTGTTAGTAAACTGTCTCTTGTGCCTTTTCCCACTCTCTGTGAATGACTGAATTGTCCTTCAGTCTTCTTTCTCAGCTTTTCCAGGTGTTGTATGTATTGTGGAAGACAGGAATTTGTTGTAACTTTCTGTTGTATTTTATATTACAACTATTAACCACCTTGTTGGTAACTACTACGAAAGCAACCTTCTGCTGTTTGCTGCCCTTGAATTGCTCCTGTCAGTTGTAATACTTTTCCCAAATATTGTTTTTAATTTTTTTTTTTTTTTTTTTTCCTTTGCTTTTTACCAGACTTTATAAGGGAAACAAGTCTTGCCTTTGTACAGTGCTGTGAAATGCATGGAGTAAACAAATGAGGAGGCGGGGGACGGGGAGAGAGTGGGAGTTTGTTTGCCTCATTGCTTGGCTTCCCTTGTGCCAATAGCAGGGCTTTTAAAAAGAAAAAGAAGAAAAGCAAATTGGATTGTTAGCAGCGTCCCTTAGGATCATAAATGAAGGGAGGATTGTGTATGTAATTCATAAACATCCTGAACTATACGCCTTCTATTTCAACTTATTAGGGCATGAAGTGGTGCCTGCCAGGTTAATTTCACACTGGGGAGTTCAGCATTCATGCAGTACTTAATTTCCTCCTCTATACAAAGCTGTGATAAGGAGAGAATAAGGCTATTTGAATATTTGATTCCAAAGAACTCAGAGTAAAGAAAAGTGTCTTAGAAGTGGTTGCAAGATGATTATAGTTTTTTTTTTTTTAATAGTTTGGAGAGCAACGTGAGACCATTTATTTGTCACTAATAGGAAATATGCCTTTTGTCGAGCAAACCCATATTTTACAAAATCTTCTTTATAGATGAAATTATTGTTTTGAATTCAGTGTGTGGTGGGCAAACAACAAAAAAGAAAAATGACTTGCATGTACCAACAAGCTCTTCTCTTTTTCTCATCTTCCAAAAGAAGAATGGAATCATATAGTTTAGAATAGTGGTCAATCTTCTGTTTTTCATGGTTTTAATGGCTAAGATGGTTTTAATATTTAAGAGAAGTGCAAGGACTATCCCAGCCAAGTGCCTATTTTTGCTTCCGTGATGTGATATCTGAACATGAGCAGAGAGTGTCAGCTGTTGGCTGTAAACAGGGCTGGGAACAAATTTTTATTTATATTTATATCAAAACTCATTTGACGTGAACATCTAAGTTGCAACCTCTTTTCCCTCTGTTCTAACTACAATAATTATTTGAAGTTCTACCATGGATGCTGACTGATTTTCAGTTTGTGAGAGCTGGATTCAGCTAGTCTGGGAAGGTGGTGAAGACTGATTCCCAGTGTTTTGCTTTAGCCTTTCTCTAAAAAGTAAATACTTTTTATAAGATTTCTTCTAAAACATATATATGTTCAGGAAAGAGACTTTCTGAGTCTTGAGGTGTGAATGGCTGGAAATTGCAAATGTTAAGGAACTCAGAGTTGAGAGTAATTAGGAGTTGAAGTTTTGATGGGAGTAAAATAAACTATTTTCCCTACTGCCCTTGAAGACCAAAGTAAACTTGAATTTGTTTAGGAGAGCTGACTGGGGTTTTGCGTGGGCTCCTTTTACTCATGTGTAAGCTCAATTATCTTTTTTTTTTTTTTTTTTTTTTTTTTTTGTAAAAGACAAAAAAGACCATTTAATATGAGAATTAATTGCCCAAGGTGTACAAACTTAAACAAAGTGAAGGCTCTCCCCCTTTGGTGTGCGTAGAGCTTATACAGAGATGTTTCTGATGTTTGTAGGAAGCATGCCCATCAGTAACGGTGGTTCTGTTGTTATTTGACTGTTACCTAATTCTTTTATCTGCTTATGTTTTTAGCATCAGCAGACATTTTTGAATCAGCTGAGGGAGATCACTGGTATCAATGACATCCAGGTACTACAGCAGGCACTGAAGGTAAGATAGTTGTAGGGAAGTTCCCTACATGTAGCTGAATGCTTAAAACTTATCATTAGCTGATGGTGAAAGCCAGAAAACGGCATGCTTTCTTCTATCTTTCCTTCCTTTCTTTCATCCCATTTGAATTATTTTTAGATATATTTTAGGGGGATAAAAAAATTGATGGCTAATTCACTTCAGAAGCAGGCCTGATCTGTTTTGGTACTGAGATTTAAAAAAAAAAAAAAAAAAAAAAAAAATTAATCTGGTGATCAAACATGAAAAGACAGGAATGGTATGACTTGCCCAGAAGCTAACCTTTGGCTCAGGTGTTTTGAGTACTTTGATGCTAGTACAGCTGCCTGACACCTGATGAGTTAAAATCTTGTTTTCTTATCAAGGTGTAGATAATTTTTTCTAGCATGGACAGATCCTGCTTAGTGTGCAGAACAAAGAACTCTTCCTGAACTTGTCACCTTTTGCTAATTTGGCATTGTTTCCATGCTTTCGCAATCATCACACATTCCTTCACATAACAAGATGTTGCAAGAATGGCAGATTTCTGTGTTCTCTTTCCCCAAGTATATACAAAGAAACTTCCACTGCCTCTTCTAAGCAGAGCTTTTTAGCCATTTATAAATGGTTAATTACATTTAGTTTATTTAAAGTATGGGTATAGTTGTTGCTTCTGATTCAGCTTAAATAATGTACACAACTGCCTTTCAGAATCTAGTATTTCTGGACTTAAAAATGAAATAGTATATTTTTGGAAGTGTATGGTTAACTGCTGTCCAAGTCTGATTGTGGTCATTGTGCAAGTCAGTGGGTTGACCTATGCTACAATATCCTTGTTTTCATACAATGCTTTATATTTATTTTGGTTAGAAAAAGTGAAATATGTAAAACATGCAAGCATGGAAAATTTGCTTTTTAACAAATATTTCACCTAAAAATGTGGTATTTCATTGATCTGAAACAAACAAAAAAAAAGTAGAGAAATTCTCACTTTTTTTTTTTTTTTTTAATATATGTGGTTAAAGGATAGCAATGGTAATTTGGAGTTGGCTGTGGCTTTCCTCACTGCAAAGAATGCCAAGGTACCCCAGCAAGAGGAGGCAAGCTACTATCAGACAGCACTTCCTGGAAATGACAGATATATCAGTGTGGGCAGCCAGGCAGATACAAGTAAGTATTTTTTTCTTTTCATAAGTTTAGTATAAAGGCAAGGAAGCTAAAAACTTGCCTGTGAGATGACTGATAAGTCTTACTTAACAACTCTGAGACTGTTACGTATATTTTCATTCCTTATTTCAACATCTTGGTTACCTTTTTCTTTTTATTTCTTTTTTTTTTTTTTTTTTTTAGCTGATAAGTTAGTCAGAGGGTGGATACCTGGGTTTTCAATCTTTTTTTTTTTTTTTTTTCCCTTATTATAGGGTTTATTTGTGGGATATGTAGTACATAATTAAAGTCAAAAAGCAAGTAGTCTGACAGTTAAAAGAAAAAAATTGTTTAGAAGAGCCTGTGATGCGTTTCCTAATATGCTTGAGTAGCTTTGCCCTAGCAGGGGTGACTTTGCTAAAGAGACCAGTGTAAGTTTAGATTTTAAGTTTAGATTTGCATTTAGATTTCCATTTTGCAGTGAAAGACTAGGTATTCAGTATGTGAAATTAATATTAAAAACGTTTCTTTTTAAGCAGTTTAACATCACTGATATGTAAGGTCTGCAGAACTGTTGTTTTGAGTTTTGTAGATTCAATGTCTTTGCTTATGTAGGTACATAGTTAATTTCTTGGAGAAAAACTAAGGATTTTAAAGTAACTGTACATTTCATACAATGGTGATGAGAAAACTACTGATAGGAGAAGCTTTGTGTTGTTGTGGTCCTGCATATTAAGTTTGTTCTGCAACTAAGCATAGGAAATAACAAAAGCAAATTTGAACTTTTGCAGAAGGATTGTAAAAGCCAAGTTTCTTGATGCTGTATTTCCTTCCCAAAATTCTAAACCTTGCCATACAATATTTTTATATACAATACAATGTGTATTAATCCTTTGATTATGTGGGTAGTACATCTATGTAGCTTTTATGAAATTAGCAGAATATTTAGCTTCAGGCACAGCAGGACTTTGTTCCTTTATTTCACTATTAATGGGTTGGCTCTGGTTGTAGTATTTTTTTTTTTTTTTTTTTAAAGTTTATTTGGAACTCATTGCTCATGGTACAATTGTCTTATAGTCCTTGACACCTTGGAAGAAACTCCTTTTTTAAGATGTTATTCTTGCAAACCAGAGTTGAGTTTATTCTCAATATCTCAGTTGCGAAAACTGTTTCAATTGTTGCTATTGCTAGCATCTCTGTATAAAATCCCCTCACTTTTAAAAAGAAAACACACATTAAATCCCATATCTGCTTAATTTGTTATGTCTGAAAACCAGTTGAGTAAGCAGAGACTGTTTTCTATGGACTTAGCACTGTTGACGTGGTCTCCAGTAATGAAGATGTACTGTGGCAGTGCAATAGTAAACTGGAATCTCTTGCAGTCTGCATTTGATTAGATTTAATGTTAATCCCGCTAGTCAAAATGTTTAGCTTTGGCATCACTTGATGTGTTATTCAATCTTATTAAAGGTATGAAGTGGTAGGGTATATAAGACAAGGAAAAGTTGGTCTTGCAGAGTCAACATTAACCACGATTGATGGTCAAATTGGTAAGAATTAGCCTTCAGTTGCAGATTCCAAACTGGATTTCAGGATATTCTGTTTTCTAGAGGGCTGAAAGCAGACCTGAATTCTCTACTATTAAATATTACTGCAGACCAGTAGTCAAGGCATCTTGGCCAATTCTTCTTCACTTTGGGGGGGCCTGGAAGCAAGAACTGATCATCTAGAACAGAGCCAAAGTCTAAACCAATCTGATTATATAGCTCCTCTCTATCTGTAAAACAGTTCTAGTGAAAGCTTCTTGTAGAAACTTGCATTTTTCTCCTTATGTTTTACTTGCCTGCAGTTATTTTTGATTATGAATTTCAAAAATGTAGCATGTTTAAGATGGACAAGTTTTAGGGCACTACATTGGTTGGTGGTGCCAAGTTAGGGAGTATGGTGAAAGGCTGTGGATAGAGATGAGAGCAGAAGGCTGGATATGAATGGGAAAACATTCAGTAATGATGGCTTCAGCCATCGACACTCCCCTCTAAAAAGAATGTTATTACCACATCTCAGAAACTATGTGAACTTGCTGACAGTATCTTGCCTTTTAAATTTGACTCCCTTTTACTATCTCACATAAGTATAATTGCATGAGGATAATTATAACTCACTCTTATCATTCCTTACTGCTTAACTGCACGTATGTATTTGGCACTTAGGAAGTTATGAGTCACCTAGGTTTGCAGTCCCACCAAGTTAGATCATTCAAACTGAGGCAGTAACAGATAAATATCAGAGCTCTTTTTTTTTTTTTTTTTTTTTTTTTTTTTTAAACCACAAAAAAGCCCTCCAGCCACTAATGGAAATTTCTGAACATATGCATTGCATAAAAAGCACATCTGAAATATTCAGTGGGCTTGACTGATGTTTCTTTGTAATGGTTACTTAGTTAAAACTGTATATAACAGGAAATCATATTTTAACAATCAGCCTGGATTGTGCTGCATTGGCTCTTTCAAAAACTAATGGTGGTCGCTCAGCTGAGCACTTAGGTTGCATTCAATATGGTAGGAGGTATAAAGAAAACTGTCATTAGCTTATGTAGCATTTCAGCAGTTATGAAACGTGCGGAAAACAGTTTGCATAAGTATTCAGTCTCTTTAAAATCCAAGGGTGGCTTGCACAGTCATTGTTATTCAGGATACTTGCCTTTTTGCCTGTTCAAAACAGTATGTGCAAGCACCTGCAAGTGCAGCTTTTTCACGTCAAGTGATGCGTGCTTCATCTGATCCCCTTGCAGAGGTGGTATTACTCGGCAATCTGTTAGAGAGCAGAAAGTGCTTAAATTGCAGCATACGTGGGAAGAACTTTTAATCTACAATCACTTTAATGTTCTCCTTTATTGTGTACAGCCTAGGCACCCTACTTAAAACAAAAGAAGTAGTAAAGTAGTACTTTCCAATATTTTCTCCTCATTGATATCTCTAGAAATTATTTGCATTAATTCAGAGAAATTTCATCTGTGGCTGCACATCAGAACTATTGCATTGCCAAGCATATATCAATTTTCCTTCTCATTGTTTGAGAAACTTGCAGAACCTAGGGTTAAAGGAAGCAGCAGAATAAAAAGAAGGCGTAAGTATTGTCTTTGCATAAAGCAAGGCCAGGACAAATTCTCTTCCACTCTTCTTTCAAAAATTTAGGAGTTCTTTGTTGAAAAAAATGAATAACCTGCTCTATAGCCAAGGCAAAAAACTTGAAGCCTTTTTGTAAGGACATTGTACAATTGTGAAATGCCACACACACCAATTCTAGGGAATTGTAGAATTCGTTGATTCTGGGGACCTGTTTTTTTTATCTTCACGTTCCTTGTGGTGGTTTCAGAAAGTCATTCACTCAGCTGATGTTTATATAACCTGTTTCTTAATAGCTCTTGTGTTGTAGAGACTCTGAAAAGTTCAGAGCAGCACGTTCTGGTGTTTCACAGACCTTTTTGACTTCTAATATCTTACCTGAATTCCTCTTTTTTTTCTTCAGATTTAGCACTTTTGCTCGTTGTGGTATCTCCTGTGGAGATCAGAGTACAGTTCATCACTTTTGTCTTAGCTCAAATGTTTCATGGCTCAAGATGATAAATCTTGGTGTCCTGATTTTCCTTATATTAAGATGAAGAGCCCAAGTTTTCCAAACCATTGCCCACGTTCTTTACCTAGTGCCATTTTTTTTTTTTTTTTCTTCTCTTATAGATCCTCTCTAATTGTTCTTAAAATGCTGCGCTCAGAACAAAAACCAAGATTGTAGCTGAGTTCTTATAAAAAATGGAATAATTTATCTAAATGTCTATATAAGTATTCTGTTATATCTCAGTGCAACACTTTGTATTTTCAATGCTGTGATTATGTGAATTGCAAGGTGAAAGTGAATCAGCTGTAGCTCCTAAGTTCTTCTTGACGTGAGTCCTAGTCAATCCCCATTCTGCAGCTATGTGTTTTACTGTTTCTGTGAGCAGAATTTTACACTATTTTATTCTGTCACCATAGCCAACTTGGATATCACTGTGTCTTCATGGCACTTCCATCTATTTCAGGGATTATTTGTGTCATGTCCTATTCAGGTTCCTGGTAATGTCTCCAGCATGGTGTGGCAGGATACCCTGCTTCAGAATGTCAGGAGCCTTTTCAGGCTCTCTTTTCATTTTACTGATTCACTCGTTCCTTTGCTCTGTGGCTATATCTCTCCTTCCCATTTCTGCTGGTGTGAGAATCATCAGTTCACTGTGCTATCATCCTGACAGTAAGGATGGAAGGAGCATCTGAGATGAAGAAATTGCTGTGAGACAGCAGTGGTTCGTGTTTGCTAGTTATTTTGTAGATAGACAGTTTTTGTCAGAGCTGTTTGGGTTGGCTAAGCGTGTGCCAGGGTGCTGTGTGTTCTTGCCCCATCCAGTTTTAACAGAAATTGGCCTGTACAAACAATTAAATTTCTTTAGTCTTCTCTTAGGAACCCATGCCTATCATGATGCCCAATGTTGCGTAATAGACTGTAGAATGTATCTTGCTTAGCTCTGGAAGTGTAAGTAATCTCTCTTTCTTTCTTTTTCTTCTTATAACGTTAGTGAGTTCAAATTGCAGTCTTGCAGGATTTTTTACTTGGCACCTGCCTCTTGAACCCATCAGGCCTGCCCTTTCATTTTCCTCTCCCTGTGCTTGCAGTTGCATCACTGTCGTTGTCTATTGCTTGTCCTTGTGTTTAATTGCTACTCCAAACCTGTCCCTCATACTGAGTTTCCCAGCCTACTTAAATTCAAAGTTTTTATTCTCAGCCTCCTCCTGGTGCAAGTAATAAGCCGATAAGACAGTAATTATTTTAATGACCTAGGCAATTACCAAGTAAGAAGCATTTATTTAAATTATGGAAAAACTTCCCAAGTAAGCAGAATGACAGGGTTTTATCAAAAAGATTGATATATGTGTATATGTATCTGTGCATTTACTATATATGTATTTTTGTCACAAATCTCAACGTTCAACTCAGCATTGCTTTATATAATTACAAGCTGGCTTTATGGACCAGAAGTATGCATCATTATGTAACACTTTTGTCGAACAAAAATACCTCACTTAATAGAACAGCTTATTAATTCTACATGCCAATTTGGTTTGAATAAACACCATAAATATGCTAAGCTAAACTGTTTTGATGTGCAGTTTTTCCTTTCATACAGGTCCTTTTTTTTTTGAGAAGCAAACTTTCTTTGTTTGCTTTGTAGTCATGGCTTAATTAAGAACATGTTTGCATTTTCAAAGGTGGTGATTTACAGTAAGAAGTACCTTTATGAGTGTGAGATGCTGAGAACTGAGGTGTTCTTTGGCCTAATGAGAGGGGTAAACAAAATCAAGTTTGAAAGCTCAGTGACTGAATTTGGCTTTCTTGTTCTTTTTCTTTATACCTTCATAAAAGCTGTCCTTCAGACAAAATGATTATACAGGTTTAACTGCTGAAAACTGGACACGTTTTCACTAAATAAAATCTGTAAGAGTTCCCAAAACATAAAGTTGCTAAAACAAATCAACAGCAACAACAAGCCTATGTGAATTTCAAGTATTACAAGTACACGCATATAGTCTATAATTTGCTGATAAGGATGCAAACCATGCTATTATGTAAACTGATTTTTTTTAAAGTTAATAATTTTTTTTAAAGAGGAGTTTAGTTTCAGATTGTTCCCCTTCTATTATGGCTTCTGTTGAGATCTCTTATTTACAGTTTAAGATTCAAGTCATACCTGAGCTGTTGTGGCTTAATGAGTTACTGTGTCAGCTGAGATGCTGAAAAAGATCTTGAATGTGCTCCAAGAACAGCACACAAGTTGAAATATGTTAGCCTAAATATCCATTTATTTTACATTTGCTACAAGCTAAGAGCTTACATGCAGTAGGCTACCAAGGATCATCTGACACTGAGCTTATTTTTGTGTCTTAGCAGTAGGGAAATTCTGTATGACATGCAACAATTGCACTGATCACAGTAGTATCTGGCAGCAGATCTTTGCCATATTGTCTTTTTTTAAAATGCAGATCACGAACACTTTGTACACAAGACTAACATTTCTGGAGGGAATCCTCCTCCAATCCCTGCATGCCAAAGAAAACTGTTCTGTTGATTAACTTTCTGAAAGAAAGTGGAAGTCAGGGATTTGGGGCCTTAATATTTAAAAGATATAATCACTTTAATATGAATGCAAAAATGTCTTTAACATATAAGATTGTGGTATAAGTTAAAGAAGAGTGAGGAGCTGGAGAGGTTGCAAAGAAATTGGAGAAGTAATGGAAGCTGGAGTTGATTTTGACCTTGCTAGGTTTTCCTGTGTTGATCTTTATAACAGTGGGAGCTTTTGCAAAATATTCAGCTGTGTTATGAGTGTTATGTGTTATGGAAAATACTGTCCATCTTCTTTATTGTTGTATAAAAGTTTCATCAGTCTTACTTTAGAAAAGATTAGCTAATGGATTCTTCTTCTTCATAAGCCCTGCTTCACCACACAGCATGTGTGGCTTATTTCATGTTCAGTTGTGACCACTATTGTAACTCTTAGAAAAACAGGTATTCTCCAGTGGAATTCTCCAGTTCATGTGGAACTACCTGTGAATGTGTAGAATGTAAGCAATGCATTTTAGAGCGTAATAGGTAGCATGTGTAATCACAAGACACTATCATTGCTCTTGTCCTTTCTATACTTGCTTCTGCTCATAGGTTGTAGAACGTAAGAATGCTTGTATATGACCCAGGTTGAGGTACTATTTTAGTCTGGATTGCTTTGTTCTCACCATGACAGCTCACATATCAAAACTCCTGTGGGTCTGACTTCTCTTGATGATTCCTGTAGTGTTTAAGAAGGAGAAGTTCAGACATCTAAGTTACAGTATCCTTTTAACATGCCAGAATGTTTGAGCTGACTGTTTAAGCATAAGAATGAAATTATAAACTGTGGTCTTAGTGTTTTTTCATACTTTCAGATTATGACAGGTTCATGGTTTAATTTGTAGGTAAGAGGGCTTCCTCTGAAAGCTCCCTAAATGAAACTGATATTCAGTCATCATTGTTTGGGGGAAGAAAGGCCTAAGTTGAAACTAGTTTTAAAGATGCTGCTGTTAACAGAAAAGTTGATTTTCCAACCTCTCTGCAGTTTCAGCTTTCAGTGAGGACAAGCCATCCCGTTTTTCTGTTAATGCGTAATTACAATTTTTGTGTCATGAGTTCAGTGTGAGAAACGTCAGAGAAAATTAAGCCTGGGGAAACAGTGCAAGCTGTCTATTCAGCAGGCTGATCCATCCAGGAAAAAAAATAATCTTTGGGAATTGATTGATCTCTTCATGACTAGCCATCAACTTTGAATAGGTTTCTCTTCCTCGTGTAGTCTTTCAACTTTTAACACAGAAACCCAAGGCTAGAGAGCAATATCTTTTGTGGCTATTTAGATAAACTTTGGCCTTTGAGTAGGGAAGATAACAGTAGGGTGCCAACTCCCTGTGTACCTCTGTCTGCCACCACACCTGAAAGTCACTTTCATTTTCCCCTCTCTTTCTGTCTGGTTGACTTGCAAAAAGCAGTTTTTGGCCCTTGAAATCAGGGTAACTAATGACCTTGGTTTTTTTTTCTGAAGGCCTCCTACAGCTGACAGGCAATCCTCTTGGCCCTGACTGTGCTGAGAAATGCCCAGTTGGGGAGTGCCTGGTTTAGAGCTGTAATCTGGGCAGTAACGCTCGTTTTTATTCCAGAGGGGAAAACAAGCTTTTACCACATTCAGGAAATGTGCAGAAGGAGTAAGGATCTGATTGTTTAGTTAATCTGAACTGGAGAGGAGGTAAGAATAGGGTTGTTTTCAGTTTATTCCCTGGTTAGTAACCCATCGGGCATTCTGCACTTGTTCAAGTATAGATCCTTTCTTTGATTTCTCTGTTTACTCTCTTAATTTTCTCCTCTGAGAAGGATACTTCTGACAGAAAGAAATTAGATTTAAATAAATTTAGAAAATGAATACATGGGCAGAATGGACAGGAGTTTTTTTTAAGAAAGGAACTCTCCCACATGCAGTGAAACTGTGTAGAAGTCCCCATGTATGGAAACACTTGTAGAATTTGGGCTTCTTCCTGTGTTTTGAGGAAGCTAGACACACATTCCTTTTTGAGAAGGAAACAGCTCAGGTATCGTTTTTAAAGAGAAGGTGGTTTTCACCATATGTGACCTGGAAGAAACTGATCATGGTAGCTGAAGTAGTACACTTAAGTGCATTTCTTTGAAAGGGCTTTCAGAAGCAACAGGTATTTAAGTTTCACAAAACAGTGAGATAAATTTAAAGTCATTAGGAGGAAGAATGACTGTTGACTGTCATGTCCTCCTAAGAGCAAACTCCTGAGGTTTTCTTTGGTTTTGAGGTGATTGGCATGGTTAGTTGTTGGAAGAGAGCAGACCACAGGAGGGGTGGACTCAAATATAGCTCAGCAGTCCTTGGGGGTTCTGTCTCCTCTACAGTAAGACTTGCCTTTCATTCTGTTTCACGTTTAATTTTGAGAAAGATAGTTTTGCTTTTCAGATGTGATTGATCTCACTGGAGATGATAAAGATGATCTTCAGAGGGCAATTGCCTTGAGTTTGGAGGAATCAAACAGGGCATTCAGGGAGACTGGAATAACAGATGAGGAACAAGCCATTAGCAGGTAAACAAACAACTTATGTAAAGCAGAAATTAAATTAAAGAGTTGGAGATTGGCCTGTGTTGCTTTTTTATTTCTTTTTAATTTAACAAAGAATAACTTGTTTGTTTTCACTTGTGCTACTTATATGCCTGGCTTCAGGATGTTGCTTTAATATATTTTATGTTCTAAACTGGAAAATAGTCTATTATGTGTGGGCTAGGAGTTAATAGTATGTTTATCATGTTGATGTATTTGTTTAAATTTTGAGGAAGTGAATGGAGATTGAGGGTATGTGGTCATATTTAAGTAGGACTTAAAAAGTTTCTCTTTTGTATCAGGTAACAAGCAATGAAAAACAGACAAAATAAAAACATTTCTAAAAAGCTAATAAATACTCTACCCTGTTTGTTACACTGCTCATTTTATAGTAACGTTTTCTTACCTCTGGTATGGCTGTGGTTTTGGGAGTGGGGGTTGTAATGCTATGGCTTGAGTACACTAAGAACAGCTGCTATATTTTTAGCCAATGTAGTATGATACTAACTTCTTTAACAAGTGGGATTTATTAGATTTACGTGAAGTTAATGTCTTGTTTTAAAGTTTTATGAACTTAACTTTTGCAGCTTTGGAACGATGAGAGTCCGCAAGTTAACCTTGAGTAAATTTTGCAATGTCTTTGTATAGTGTGTATTTATATATAAATAGAGATATAATTATGAAATATTTGATACTTGGACTAAGACCCGAGTGTAAGGTTGTGTGTGAAGGGTTTTGTTTTTTTTTTTTTTCATGGCCTTGTTCTCTGGAAAAATGGCAATGATTTGATCCTAGGGTTGGAAGATTAAGTACTGCTTGCTTGTTTAAAAAAAAATGAATAAATTACATGGGGCAAATTTACCACAGTAATTCTTTTCCTCAGTAGACTGTATTAGGCAGACAGAATCGTTAGCCATATTCTCAGATTGGACTTAAATGGATAGAGTTATTCAGAGTCATTTTCATTTTCCTTTTTGAAAAAATAATGCACTAATTTTGAGAATAAGCATTCCAACAAAGTGTGCCCTGATATTTGAGACAAAAAGCATACAGTTATTTGAATTTAGTGTTAGATATTTTTGAAAAGTGAGATGAGAGAGATTTATATTCTCATTAATAATTGGAATAAGTTTTAAAGAGTAGTTTTTTTCTAAGACTTCAAGATATACATGTGCTCAAGATAATGGAAAACGTTCTTTCCGGTTTTGAGCCAGAAGTGCAGCTCTTATATGTTCCGTTTTGAAGGACAGAATTGTCATAATTAAAGAGTTATGATTTAGCCAGACGCTCAGAAATATGGATCTATTTGGAAGAAATATGGAAATATGGAAGTCTTTCTCTTTTTTGTTTTTTTTTTAACCTCTGCTCTGCTTCTGCTGTGTTTGCTTCTTGTGTGCCTAGAAGATCTAGTTGTTTTTTTTTTCGTGTAGCCACTGTTATTCATTTCTCAGACTAAAAATTCCTTTTTAGTCTTACCTGCTTACCCCAGAACTAATTATTCAACTTAAATTTCAGTGTGCTTTTTCTGGTTGTAGAAGATTGTGAAGTAGCATGACTTCTTTTTCCATGCATAATGTACAAAAGCATGTAGACACTTTTCAGTTATATAGAGAGAAAAATGTTGGTCTTTTATTTTGATGAAACTGTTAGAAAGGTATATTTGGTGGCAAAATTGCAAACAGCAGTGTGTGCCAGTTTAAGAGCTTGTTTCTACCAAGGGGGGTTATGGAATACCGCTTGTAACACATCTTCTGTTCTTGCTGTAGTATTCTTTGGAGCATTTGTTGTACCAATCCAGCTCCAAAGCCATACAAGAATATTCAGGAACAGATTCAAAGCATGTCATGTCTTGAGAAAAGGGATGAGGCTTGGTTTCTGAATGGAGACATAGAGGAGTGAGAATGTGGGATTTTGGCAGCATTGAGGTACTAGATCAATTCAGTTACGTGTCAGGGTAAACCCTGTGTTGAAGGCAAATTATTTCAAAATTATACAAAAACAAGAAACAAATTTTTGCTCTGAACCATTCAGTCAGTTTCATTAAGGGTAGAAGTTGAGACTGTTTAAAAAAATAATAATAATAAAAAGATTTCCTAGTTAACACCCCACAGAAGAATGTTGGCACTGGAATAGAAAGCACAGTATCTGTGCAGGACTTTTAAAAACAATAAGTAGAACAGCATGATTGTAAACAAGTCAAACTGCAGCCATTTGTTGTTGTTGTTGTTTTCCTTTTAGTTAAATAGAAACAGAAATCAAATAGGATCTCAGTAATACTTTAATAATGTAGGATGTGTGCATATATAAATAATTCAGTTTTGGAAGAATTTCTTTCAAAAGGTATTCACTCTGGTTTGGGAATCTGACTTAACGCTGATTTTGTTAAAGTTTCTGAGGGAGCCCTAATGGAATTTCTTGAATTGTGTAATTAATGTTGTAATTCCTCTATGTAATTGCCTTGTGTTGCTTAATGAAGACAGATCTGATTACTATGTAGGTGTTAAGAGGAGTGCAGCTGAAATGTTCAGCTTTTGAACGCTCGGACATCTTGTACATGATGTGTTTAGGCCTATTTACTGTTCTCCTTTCAATCTCCAAGGGAACTTTGAATTTTCAGTGTATTTACACATATGAAAAAATATTTCCTATTTGTATAATTTTTCATGGATTGAAGGAGTTTGAGGCTGGACAGATGGGGCTTTAACTGGGGAAGTCAGTCAGGTGATTGAAAGGAGAAATTAGCTGACATGTGCATTGTGCTTAGAGTAGCAGCCTTGTAAAAATGAAAGCCTATGAGGGCATAATGGTGCATGCATCCCTGAGCATTTTATTATTATTTTTGTTTAACATGATCATGAAAACTGATGGGGACTCTGCACTGTGCGTTGTCTGTATGGATAGAAGGTAGAACTGGTGAGGAATGTAGGGTAGAGGTTAAGTTCATAAGAGAGTTACAATGTTTTTGCTGAGTAGCCTGCTAGTAAACTTCTGTTCAGCATGCTTAGTGAGTTTCCTCAATGTAGTTTGGCCTGAACTTTTATCCTCTGGACACATTTTGGCCTTGGTTTTCTGCGTTATCTAGCTAGCCCCATGCAAATGACTCTGGAAAGCAGCTTAGCTATACCTAGCTTGTTACTGAGAGAAATAAAACACTTCTTTCAAGTCTCATGCAAAGCCTGGCATTAACTAACCCCCATCTGAAAGTTACCGTCTGAACGTGATTCCAAAACTTGGCCCCATGAAGTTAGAGACATACCATTTGTTGCACATAGTTGATGGCTCTGCTGCTGGTGACAGCTGCTGTGGTCTTTTATGGTCGTAGAGAGGGTATTTCAGCTGTTTGATGAATTGCTAAATCCTCGTGCTGGCTTTCTGTAAAGTTACTCATCCTGTTGAAGAGCAAAGCATGAATAAGGTGTTTTGTCAAGGTAGAATCTCAAATCAGGACTTCATTGTTTCGGTTTTAGTGAATGTTATTGTAAAGCAGAAGAGACATATTTGCTATAATGGGAAGTGCATTTATTTATGTAGCTTTTGAGCTGGTCACCTGATTCCATTTGAATATGCTCATTTTTATTTCAGTTTTATCATAGTTATCATTGTGACCCCCCAAAAATTTGACATTATAGAATGTACAGCAATTGCGTTTTTCGTTGAAGACAAATAACGTTTTAGGTAAACATGAGGAAAAATGGGAAATTCTGAGAATCAACTATGTTATTAAAATGTGAAATAAGATTTGAGGGGGATCTAGAGCTGAGGAAATCGCTCAATTGCTATAATAATAAGTAGTATTAAAATGTACAAGAAGTTACTGCTAGGATCATTTATCAATTGAATTGCCTAGTCTTTGTGCTCTGTAAGCAGTTTGAAAATATGTATGTACGTTCAGAACTTCAATCTAGAAATATTAGTGAAGTCAGAGGGAAAAGATGACTCTGCATGCAGGTGATATGGAAAGTATTTTGATCCTATTGATAAATTATTCTGAATTTGTTTCAGTCTGTCTGTCATGTAGGCAGTTTTTAAGATCCCTTCAGTTTAGTTTAAACTGAAGAATTTGGATATTCTTACTGAAAGAGAAATTATTTTAAATACATTAGTCTTTTGATTTGATTTTAATATCCTCATCGAACAACTTTTACTCTCAAATCAGAGAGATGCTGGCTGTCTGACACTTTTTGAATGGAGGATGTTTTTTTTGCCATGTTTTGTCAAGTTTTGTCCCTTCATGCTTCATCATTCTAGTATATCTTGCAAGATATCTTTTGCTGCTTTCACAAGAACGTTGCTTTAAACAGCAACAACAAAATGTTACAGTTAGGAAACTGATGGCTGTGTAGTGTGAGCTTTTTCCTGCTTTTTTGTGTTTTCTATTATTGAATATTATTATTTAATATCTGTTTTTTAGTAAGATGTTCAAGTTGTTGTCCTTTGGGAACTTCATTCAGAACCTAGTCTAAACCTGTCCTTTCTTTGAGATTTAGTGAGCCCAGAACCAAAGAGGGCAACCCTTCAGGCTGCACAGACTTATGTACGTGTTTGTCATACAGCTCCTGTAATGCTGTGCTTGCCAGACTTAGTAGTTCCTTAGCAGCTCAGTCTTTTGTGTAATAGTTGGACTTGATGGTTAGGGATAGTAGCAGTGTCAATGCCTCCCGCCAGGGAACTTTGCTTAAGATTTTGAGACACTCTTTTAAGAACTGAGTGTGTCTATTTCTGTCTTTCAATTTAGAATGCATAGTTACTACAAATTACCTGTAAGGTACCTGTCTAAGGATATATGCTGATATGAAAATGCTTTATTAAGTGAAGCCTGAGTTTGGGACCATATCAGATCTTGTCGTGTGAAATAAGGGCATTCTTAATGTTAATGTGGCTTATAAATTAATTATTTACATGGAAAGCAATTAATGCTATGGCATAAAACTGGAAATATGGAAATAGGTTGTCCATTTTTGAAATTTATGTAGGTAGTTTTTGTTTCCTGTCAGTAAAATAAATATTGATGACTTTGTGCTCTACGTACCAGTGAAAGCATTTATAGTTGAAAGTGCAACAGTAATAGTACTGCCTGGAAGTTTTTCTTGACCATCATATTGAATCAGATTCTTAAATAATTAATGACTTACAAATATGGCTTATTGTATTGATAGTTCTTGTAGTAGGCTCGCTCACTCACTCACTGCAATTACTTTTCCAGAACATGACAGAATTACTGTAATATATCTAACTGTAAAATACTGTTGTTTTTGAAGTCATAAGATTGTGTGTAAATCCACTTTGAAACCAAGTTCAGCACAATCAGTTATCAAATGATACAATTAAGATGGCTGTGTTAGTAAATGAAAGTGTTTTACTACATCTTTTTTTGCTTTGGTTCACTTTTTTTTTTTTTTTTTTTTCCTTCCTTCTGTTCCGAAAGAGTTTTAGAAGCCAGTATTGCAGAAAATAAAGCAAGTTTAAAGAGGACGCATCCAGAAATATGGAGTGACTCTCCAAACCCTTATGATCGGAAGCGACAAGACAACTGTCCAGTGGGATTGAAGAACGTGGGAAATACGTGCTGGTTTAGTGCTGTCATTCAGGTAAGCACCATCTTTGATCAGCTCCTCATTGTATTTAACATGATGTGAGTTATCTTAAGGGAATAACTAAAGATATCTATTTTCCTAGGAAGTTTAGGGCATTGTATGAGAGATTCTTGAGTACTACTTTATTTACTGCGCATCTTAACATGCTGAAGTTTATAAAGTACTACAGCATAACCAAGTAAAGCTTCAAATTGTGAGATTTTAATGATTTTTTTTATTAAAAAGTTGTTGAAGACAAGGAGTTGAGTCTTTGAAGATGTTGAGTGCCTGCAGCTCATGCTGACATCAGTGACAACTGTGAATGCCAGAAAGCATGCAAATTGGATTAGGGATGAGGAACAGACTTTTTATATTAAAAGCAACATATGCAAGGGATAGGAAGGTGGTGGCTGAGTAGGACAGGGAAATGAAGTGCGCTCAGTCATGGAGTGCTTACTAGCATAGCTATGTGGAGGTATAGCAGAGTAGGGCAGAAGAAATAACTGGTAGAGAATGAAACTTGAGAAATGGGAAAGGGAAAGGTGTGATATGGATGCCTCTGCATCTGTTTTGAGATTTATTGCTTAATAGTCAGTACATGTGCTCTTTAGTCTGTTTCTTTGTGTATGTATAGCTGGTTGCTGACTTGGAATAATTGTTTAGCTGAACTACCTATGTAGCTATCACCTACCTTGTTATCAGTTAAGTAGAAAATACTTCATTTTTTAAAAAGATAGAATAGGTGAGTATAGACACTGCAACTTGTCTTGTGGAATATAATGTTCTAGTATCGTGTGATGCTTTTTTAAATCCATATATTATTTTGTAGATGCTTTCCAAATCATCCAAAACCACAAATATCTGTGGCTAAATCTGGAATTCAATATGTTTTTTAATTTTTTATTTATTTACAAGAAGCAAATTCAGCATATATTTTTCTTGTTGTGATTTGTCAGAGGAGTCAAATGAAGTGCGTAATACCCATTTTTTAACAGATTACTAACCTGATGAAGGACATCCAGTGACTGAATTGTTTCTGTAACAAGAGGTGTTCCACTTCTGGCCAAACCTGTTTACATCAGTGTTCTGCCTGACACAAATGCATGCTCACAGAGAAATATAAACAGAATAATTTACTATTCTGTTCAAAAATCAAATCAGAACCTTCAGCTACTTTAATCTTGGGAGGTTGTTTCTTGATCCTTTGCAGTTTTAGTTGATAATACCCCTGGATTTCTCTTTTGTGCACTTGTCTCCTTTAAGCATTGCAGTCTTTTTTCAGTCCGTGTCCTTTCTGTAGGAATTCTGTAGTTGTGCTTTGTACTACCTGAAGAACTGCCTCTTTTGTTTACAGACCTGGCTCTCTCTAGCTTTTTCTGGTGACCTTCATGTTGGCCGGTAGACAAGACAAAAGTTGACTGCTGTTACATTTCTGAAGGCTTCTGTCTTGTTTCTCTTTGAACAAGTTGTCTTTTTTTTCCAAGGTGACTATTGAGTAATTGTCTATATAAAACCTGTTGTAAGCTCTATCAGCCTTCTTGTCCTTCTCCAGGTGTTCTCTAGCTCTAGTAGCTGTTTTGCTGAGGGTCCAGAAAAGTTTTCCAACAGCTCTGTGGGGGATATGATTTTATTGAATAGCGCAATGCATGCAGGCTCTTCAGGATGGGCAATCAGGGATGACAAGACATGGTGTTGCTTTTCTTGGGAAAAAGCAGTTCAAATGTGTTTATATTGGACAAGATAAACTTGTTAAGATGAGTTTGTTGGTCAAGGAGAGGATCATAACAAACTAAAGAGGATGCCATCTTCACAGAGCACCTGATCTGGTTGAGAATATGGACAAAACCTTACTTACAGGCAGTGAAGATCTGGAAATAAAGATGGGCTACTGAAGAGTTTGGAAACATTGCCCAAGCATGAGAAGGTGTCTTTGGGAAAGTGAAAACTCAGAATTAATGCTGTCAAAGGATATCTGTGATAAAAAGAGCTTCTTCTTTTTTCTTGTACTAGTAATAAAAAGCTGACCCAGGAGAACTTTGGTCTATTCCTCAATATGTAAGTTGACTTAGAGATAGCAGGCACGTATAAGGTTGAGATATTCTGTGTCTGCTCTGCTTCTCTTCACCAACAAGGTCTCTCAGCTTCCTGTGTCTAGCTGTGGCTGATGAACTATGAACAGTGGATGAGAACTGAGTCAGAGGTTACATGAAGCTAGCTGGGCCCATGTAAGTCCATTGGACCCACTGAGCTCTGCCCAGTGGAGCTAAGAGAAGAGTGCAAAGTCTTAGGAAGGCTGCTGTCATTGAGAGTATGAGAATTTTCCAGTAACTGGAGAAAGGCAAAATTCTCAACCTTGGAGTGTTGGCATGGTTGGCCTTTGCTGATCAGTGAAAAATTGGAGTTAGGCTTTTCACAGCAGTGCATGTTGGGAGGACCTCATGAAGTTCAAGAAGGCCGAGTGCAAATTCCTGCGCTTGAGTGGAGGCAGTCCCTAACATTAACAGTTTCAGTGATGACTGGATTGAGAATGGTCCTCTAGAGAAGAAGTTGGGGTTACTGGTGAATGAAATATTTGACATAAGCCTGCAGCCAGAAAGCCAATTGCATCCTGGATTGCATCAAAGAAATCGTGGGCAGCAGGTCAAAGGATGTGATTCTCCCCTTCTTTTGAGATAGGCTGCCAGTGTTGGAGTTCTTTATCTTGAAGAGGAAGAGGCTCCAGGGAGACCTTGTAGTGACCTTCCAGTGTGTAAAAGGGTCCTATGAGAGAGGTGAAGAAGGACTCTTTACCAGGATGTGTAGTTATAGGACAAGGAGTAGTGGTTTTAAACTTAAAGTGAGTAGATTTAGATTATAGAAACTCTTTATTGTGAGAGTGGTGAGACACTGAAATGGATAATTGAATAACAGTTAGCTTGGAGCCTGTAATTTTCTATAACTTTCAGAATTGTTTTCCACCATGTACCTCACTGTACAGTTACGTGTTGAATTTTGATATCTTATTGTCTAGTTACTCAGTCCCATACGATCCTTCTGTCAGTTCATAGAATCACTTATGTTTGAAAAGACTTAAGATCAAGTCCAGCTGTTAACCTTGTGCTTCATCTAAACCTTGTCTCTAAGTGCCACATTTATACATACTTCCAAAGATGGTGACTCAACTATGTAGGTTGCTCTGAAAGCAGTGTCTCTTATTTCCATGGGAACTACAGCAGAGAGCAAAAATGCTATTTGACAGAAGAAATTCTCAGCTACAAAACACTATTTTATTTTATTTTTTTTAACATAGTCACCATTACTAGCTGTGCATTTTTGTCAGTGATGAGCAGGAGCTGGCATGCTATGCTCATAAAAATCTGCATGGCTGTATGTAATGTGGCTTTTCTTTCAAGTCATTGTTGCTCCACTGAAATGCGTCACCCGCTGCCTGTGCTCACATCCACTTCATAAATGTTTGGCAAGCGTTGATGAATGTCAATTGCTGTGATTCTTTCTGCGTGGAGGAATCCACCTTTGTTTCAGCAGCCTATTCCAATGCTTCACAACCCTTCCACTGAAGACTTTTTTCCCTAATATCCAGTCTAACCTCTCCTGATGCAACTTGAGCTAATTTCATTTTATCCCGTTGCTTGGTGCATTTGTGAAGAGACTAGCCCCCACCTTGTTGCAGCCTCTTTTGAGATAGTTACAGAGAGCAGTAACATCTCCCCTCAGCCTCTCTTTCTCGAGGCTAAACAACCCTAGATCTCTCACCTGCTCCTCATCAGACTTTTTCTCTAGATTATTTACCAACTTCATTGCCTTTCTTTGGACATGTTCCAGCACCTCAATGTTTCTCTTACAGTGAGGGTCCCAAAACTGAAAAGATTTGAGAGGTAGCCTCTCAAGTATAGGGAGACTGTCCCTTCCCCAGTTCTGCTGATGCTATTTCTGTATTTGTTCTCCCTTCCATCTCCCTTACCACCTAAGGGAATTTTTTGCTGTTCTTAGGCCTCTAAGTGTCTAATAAATTATCATGTTTGAATTTTCTGTTTTCCTGGGATCTTTTGAAACTTTACTCCTCTCAGTTCCTTTCCCTATTCCCTCTCATTCATAGGTCTTTTTTTCAGTAGCAGAAATGTCTTGGTGCTACTAGAGGAGCATTTTATTTCAGTAAAGGTCTTCGCAGAGCTAATACGATTTGGCATTTTACCTTCTCTGTTGTGTAATCAGATTTTACATTCCATAACACTTCAGAATCTCAAGACTACTGTTTTTTTTGGTGAATTTCTATTTTCATAAAATGTTTTTTTTTCTTAATAGGAGACTCAGATTTTTAAAGAAATATTTTAAAGGAAATTTGAATTTTAATTAATCAACCACTGAGATAAGGACAAGGAGATAGGGAAAATAAAAGCTCTAGACCTATGATCTCATGTTATTTATACCTGACATGGAACTTTGAAAATTGGTTATAAAGAGACTAGCTAGTTCCTGTGGTCATTATCCACATTATATGAATTGGGAATTATACTGGTTTGGCCCTAATTAGGTCCATAGAATGTAATTCAAGTAAACCATTAAAAGATTTAAAACTTCAATTGGTTGAAAATTTAGATTATTAATATTGTCTGTCAGCAAGAAGGACTTGTGTTTCAAACAGCCACCCCAGGAAATTTAATGCATGTTAATTTAGAGCATTAGCTAATACCATATTTATTTATCCACAGGGACAAATTGACTCCTTAGGTTGCATTGACTGTGTAGAAGTATTTTCAAGCTTTCTTTAGGAGTCTTTTGAAACTTGACACATCACAAAGGTCAACAATATCTAAAGGTTAACTACTGTCAATCACAATGACATATTGTGTAATACAATCTAAAACTAAATTGCGAAGAAAAAGGATCCTTCTATTTCAGACCTGCTTGTTTAAAAAGGAATATGCTTTTGACATGTTGACAGTTTCCTTATGCAATGTATATTGTTTTTACAGCCACCAATTAGATAATTTAGTCAAATGCAGTTATCAGTGGCT